TAGCAGTTGCGAGTTTAGTCTGGGCCGTGTTAAATTGTTAGAAACGGCTTCCCTGGTGGCACAGTGGTTAAGAATCTGCCTGCCAATGCAGGAGACACGAGTTCGAGCCCTGCTCCAGGAAGATCCCACATGCCGCGGAGCAGCTAAGCCTGTGCGTCAAAACTACTGAGCCTATGTTCTAGAGCCTGCGAGCCACAACTACTGAAGCCCACAGGCCTAGAGCCTGTGCTCCGCAACAAGAGAAGCCACCACAGTGAGAAGCCCACACGGAACAATGAAGACCCAACGCAGCCAAGAATAAATAAATAAATTTTTTAAAAAATTGTTAGAAACAACCTCAGCGCTAACTGTTCATTGTTCATGGATCAGAGTCAACTGATACATCTACTCAAAGGAATATTATATCAAGTCCCTAAAAGTGATTTTTACAAAGTTTTTGTAGCATGGGAAAATACTAATGAGCAGTGTTGACTGAGGAAATAACACAGCCTTTGTTATGTATAATATGATCTCAACTGTGTGAAAGAAGATACACAGGGAAATTCTACAAAACGTGTCCAGAGATGAGCAGTGGTTCCCACTGAGCGATGGGGCTGTGGGCGTGGGGTGAGTCGTCACAGACTGGAGGGTCGGCTCTTTGAGGCCTTCTCCATCCACTTCATGAGAACCCACTGGGACTGGCCTTGGCCTGAAGAAGGACTTCACCGGCTCTCAGAACCGACAGGCCCAGCAGGGCTTTGATTCCAGGCGTAGCTTCTTTGACCACAATCTGGACTTTGTCGTTCAGCGTTGCCTTCCTCTGTTCCATCTTTCTTGTTAACCAGCCTCTTTTCTTATGGTGACACGATGGCCACCAGCATCTCCAGGCTCACGCTGACCTGTTTCCTGATAGTTTTAGCCCAAGTGTGGGGCTGACACTCACTGCCTCTGTGTCCACACCCTTGACAGTCACTGTGGCCAAGAGAACCTGGTGAATGTGGCCGAGCTGGTGTCACCGCTCCCACGGGCAAGCCTGAGAGCTCCCCTATGGCAAGTGCAGCTCCGTGTGGTTAGAGGGCAGGTGCGCAAAGCCAGCAGACGGCTGTCAGCGCGTGAAGAAAGATGAGGAATTCTGTTCTCTCGGTCCCACTTTTGTTTTTCGTTTTTTGGTTTTTGGGGGGTTTTTTTGGCCATGCCATGCAGCATGTGGGATTTTAGTTCCCCAACCAGGGGTCAAACTGGTATCTCCTGCAGTGGAAGAGCGGAGTATTAACCACTGGACTGCCAGGGAATTCCCCTATTTTTTGAAATTTTTAAAAATGCCGTTCTTGTGAGAAGTCTGTGTCCATTTCTCAGATAACCTGGTATTTGAAAAGCCTCCAGACTTTATTACTGCTCCTGTAAATGCATATACATATATATGTTCTCAGTGGGATAAGCTGTATTCTATTTCATTACCTACAGTCTCTGTATACAGAGAGTGAGAGTCCTGAGCTGACAATAGATTTAGGAGTTTTTTAACAGATGGCATTTGAAATCCTGGAAGAGGCTGAGGAGGTGAAGGGTGAGATGTGTAAGGAGCTGGACAAGAATCTTCCCTGGGCAGTGCGGGAGGGATGGGGATTCTCGCAACCTGTAGAGGAGATGGACACAGATAATGCCTTGTGAGAATGTGGCCGAGTTCAGCACCTCCACATGGCATAGAGGCCTCCAGTTCAGGTCATGGGTGACCACATAAGAGGAGTGGGAACATGGAGACAGAAAGGACTGGGCCAGGTGAGGGCAGCAGGGAGAATCGGCTTTGGGTGGGGAGAGGGTCTTCTCTTTGAACAGAAGGATGCATGTGGATCTGGTGGAGGAATGCCCAGGAAGGTCACCCCTGGGGATCTTGATTTTCTCAGAAAGTTGTGCTGAGAGGAATGAGGGCCAGTGGGCAGGAAGGGCATGATCCACTCATGTGAGTAGAGAAGGGCTGACCAGGGCTTTCCCCGAGCTCTTGGGGACCATGATAAGATTAAAGATCTTGAGTTTTTGTGGCTCAGCAGTTCTTGGTAGTGTGCTCCTTAGACCTCTAAGGTCCCCAAGATCCTTCCAGGGGGTTGGTGAGGTGAAAACTCCTTTCATGATGACACTGAGGCATCCTACACCCTGTCCCTTGTGCTGCCATCTGTGCTCAGTGCAGGGCGAGGCGGCAGTGCCAGCCTCCCAGCTAAAACCAGGGCAGCTGCGTGTGAGGTGCCTTTGGTGAAGCAGCACAGAGAAGTCGCTTTGTTGTGTCCTGTCCTTTGTGCCAGTCTTTTTAGTGCTCCATGTGACAGCGCGGGATAAGTGCACGCAGAACACATCTGCCACGTACTGAGTGCAGTGGTTTCCTCAAAGGATGGTGCTGTGCAGTTGTTTGAATTGTGAGTTGAATTCGCTGCTTTTTAATAATTGATCCTCAGTAGTTTTCAAGAGTAGGGCTCTGAGATCAGAAAGTTTGAGAAGCACTGTTGTGGTGGCACAGTCTGCACAGGTGGCCTTTTTCTCTACCTCTGCTCAGAAATTCGAGCTGAGGATGGAAGTGACAGATGGCAGCCTTAATCTGGGATCAGAGTGTTGCTGGGTAGGTGAGATGGCCCCAAAGCAGTGCTGCCAGCCGGGTGACCCGCCCCAGGACCTGGAAGGAGAAGTGACTGATGAGCTGGAAGGGTGGGGTCATGTTGCTGCACACCTCCCGGAGTTAGAGGGGAGGTGTGGGCTCATGGCCGCCACCAGGGAGAGTCAGATGTCATCCTGGCCTTGAAGGGGCTTCAGTCTTTTAGGGCAAATAAAATCTGCATCCTATGCACAGCCAGCGTGATTCATACGTCGGAGTGGTGCCAGCGGGATGCTGAGCATGTGGGAGGAGGGAGGCCGGGCTCTCTGACTATGGGAGCAGCACCTGGCAGCTGCTTCCCATCTCCCCCCCTCCCCTCCTGTAGCTGCAAGCAGTGCAGAAATAGCGCTGCAGTCAAAAGAGGCTGGAGAGCCAGTCAGTTTTCAAGTAGCAAAAAAAAAATTTAAAAAGCTCTTTTCTTTTGAAATTGTTGCCTAGGATTGAACTTGAAGGAACTGAAAGGTCTGTTTTAGGAGTGTGTCAGCTGCAGAGCATCCAGTTGCCTTGGAGTGCATCCCTCCTTAATATCAACAAAACTTGGAATTTAAAAATAATGCTGTTAGACTCTTGACTGTGGCTGGGCCCTCGACTTCTCCTGACAAGGATGGAGGTTATCTGGTCTCAAGGCAGTCCTTGGGGAAATGTCTGTGAGCTCTAGGGGAGGGGAGGGGGGCGGGAGCGGGAAAAGAGGTCGGTTTTAGTACCTGTGTTAGGTATGGTAGGGCTCTGAGGCCCAGCAGGTGTGTTCGCCCATCTACCAGTTTGAAAATGTACTATTTGTAGAAATTCGTTATGTGGGCTTTAAAAAAAGCGTACTGTTTTTCACACTGCACTTTATGGACATGAAAAAAGTCCTTTGTTGTGTGCAGTTTCTTATCATGTCCATCACACAGTGTACCACATCGATGATCTCCTGATTGAAGGTGAGTAGGGGTGGTGTGCAGGGATGTGCACATGGGGGCCCCAACCTCGGGCAGTGGGGCACCCCACCCACCCGTTCTCTCCCGGCGACTTCCTGGCCAGCCGCCAGCTGCTCTCCATCGGGGAGCACATTTCCTAGTGACTACAGTGATTTTCCATCACCGTTCTTTATCCTAGAGCTTAGAGTCGGGTGCTCATTTGCAGATGGATGAGGTTGATAACCTAATAAGAAGCTATCACCGTGAGTAACAAGGCTTCATTAAGTAGATGCCAGTGCTTTTGTTTTTGTTAGTGTCAATACATTTTCTAAAAATGTGTGTTCTTAATAATTACCTGGTAGGTTTTTTTTGCGGTACGCAGGCCTCTCACTGTTGCGGCTTCTCCCGTTGCGGAGCACAGGCTCCGGACGCGCAGGCTCAGTGGCCATGGCTCACGGGCCCAGCCGCTCCGCGGCATGTGGGATCTTCCCGGAGCGGGGCACGAACCTGTGTCCCCTGCATCGGCAGGCGGACTCTCAACCACTGTGCCGCCACGGAAGCCCTACCTAGTAGTTTTTAGATTTATTTCTTGGAGCCCTTGGATTTCTCAGGGGTGTCTCAGGGCCGTGAGCACCACTGGTCTGAGAATTGTTAAATAAAAGGGGATAGTTTTAAAAGAAGCCCTCTTTGTTACCTCTTTACCAGAACAGTGATGTCTTTTCTAGCATGTATCCTCCCTCATTGAAACCTACTTCTGACACTAAATACAGGAAGTATTTTGTCACATGACCCTTAACCCTGGTCCCAGCCACTGTCAGCCGTGCCCCTTGGCTGTCCTCGCGGCCTGAGGTGGTGCCTAGATACTCTGCAGAGGCCCCAGGGCAGGCTGCTCATTGGCCACCGCCTCCGGCTTGTTCCTGTTGGCCCTGCACTTGCTGCCTTGCTGCATTGTCGACATGAAAGAGGTGGTCAGGGCTGAACTGCCGGCCAGGTCGAGAGAATACTTGTAGCTTGGGGCCTTGGAGAAAGACGCCAGGCTGCAGAGCAGGCCAGGGGGCCTGTGCTTTACACAAGCCTCTCAGCCAGGACCTGGAAGGAGGAGGCTGAAACCACATGGGAGGCAGTGACCATTGCAGAAGTGACTTTGGAGTTGACTTAAGAGCAGTACATACATAAAACCTCTGCTTTTGACCCTGCGAGCAGAGCCGTGATTTAGGACAAGGCCAGGTTTTGGGGGCAGACTTGGGCTTGAATCCTGGCCACTATGTGGAGCCTTTGCTGAGCATATCACCTTCCTGAGTCTGGGTCTCTACTAACAGGTGCTCAGACTCAAGCTCAGAGGTGGAACAGGCGCACCCCTGGGTGGTGGGGGCTCCTTTAGCTCGGTTGTCTTGTGGGTCAGTGGACTTAAACAGGAAGATGAGAGAGTATTTCATTGACTGTTTCTTTGGCTTCTCACCTCTTCAAAACCTTTCTCTTTGTAGCTCTGGATTTACTGGACAAGATGTTGACGTTCAACCCTCATAAGAGGATTGAGGTGGAACAGGCTCTGGCCCACCCGTACCTGGAGCAGTACTACGACCCAAGTGACGAGGTGAGAGCCTGCACCCCGCCCGGCTGAGTGGCCCTGCCATCATGTGCCTGAGACTAGTGCTGTCCCCACAGCCTGAAACCCCTTCCTCTAGGTCCCCTGCAACGGGTGGGGCCGGGGAAATGGAAGGGGAGGGGAGCACAGGCAGGGAAGGGATCCCAGGACTGGTCATGGCCTGTGGCAGGAAGAGACATGGAACTGCAGGGCCCACCCTGAGGGTGGAGGGGAGGAGAGGACAGGTCAGCCAAGACAGTCCCACCAGAGAGCTTGGTGGCTTCGTGTCTGCCTCCCTGTGTGCCTCCCTAGAGACACGAGAGCCTGTCGTGATGAGGAATGCTGGTCGCAGAGGTGCGTGTGCGAGTCTCCAGTGCACACTGGGCATCCAGGTGAAGGTGCTGCATGTCGGGCATCTTCTGTCCAAAAGTCCCCGTTCCTTGGCTCTTTGGTTCCTCTGGGGACTCACTTTTAACTTTGTTCTCTGGAGGATAGTGAAGGAAAGTGCAGTAGGAACCAGAAATGTGGATCTTTCTAGTTGAGGTTCAAATGCATAGATAGTAAGCCTTCACACTCCTGTTTTTTAAAAAGGGAGAACCAAGAGGAATGTGTTAAAGGGTAAATGGAAGAGGAAAGGAAGAACTAACTACAAAAGTGAAAATCAGTTACATGAAAAAGAGAAAGAGGAAATCAAACATGTATCAGTCAGCTTCCCCTTCCACAGCCTTTCCCGGAAACAGTTGACGCAACCTCCGTGGTACATAACAGAGGAGCAGCTGAAAACATGGGACCTGGGGCTCTTACTGCCCTGTGAGCTGGCGGTTTCCTAAGCCCCACGTCCTACTTTCAGGCTGGGGTGGTACCCCACACCCAAAGGGGGCCAGGCGGATTAGAAGGGTGGCATGTGTAGGGTCCCGTACGTCGAGCCCTCCTTCAGGGAGGGGAGCTGCTTGTTTTTCTCTTTTCCCCCTTTCAGGAGGCCAGGGCCTAGCGCAGAGTTTGGGGTGCACGTTTCCTCCCCCTTAATACATGGTGTGAGGGTGACATGGATAAGGCCTGGGGTGCCTGGTAACAGCTGTATTGTCATCAGGTTCTGTAACATTGCATTCGTTTGGAGGGGGGTGCTTACAAATCAAAATATTAACTGACTAATTACATCTTTTGTCATTGAGTATGCATGGAGGTTTTTTGATATGAATAGACAGTATTAGATTTCTGGTTATTTATAGAGAAAGTATACTAAAGAAAAGCAAAAACTTGCAGAAAAATACAAGAAAGATCACTTTGTAGTCTTGTTATGCGGTTATCATTATTAAAATTTTGGAGTGTTTCCTTCTCAGTCTTATATTTCTATATCTAAATTTTAAAAATAGAGTTCATTCTGTTTAACACAAATATGGGCATTTGCCATGATTTTCACCTTCCTTGCGGCTTCACTCTTTAATGGCTCCATATTACTTCTTCATATAAAGATACCGTAATGTGTGTAATCAAATGCATCTATTCAAGTATTGAGGGTCTTGATTGTGTACACATACTACCACCAGCAGCAGCCCTCCCATCACAGCAGATTCCTGTGGCTGCCATGTGCATGCAGTGCCTGAAGACATTGGAGAATCATGTGGGGACGCTCCCTCTCACTGGTTCAGGGCTCTCGGGAGGTGCACTTCCGTGACTGGGGTGCAGCACAGGGCTGCTCATCACAGGTGCCAGTCCTGCCATCTCAGTTCCAAAGCCTGAGCTATGGTCTTTCTGTGGAGCAGTGAATGACTGCCTCAGCCGCAACCACTTTTGTCTAAACGTTCTATTTTCTTTTCAAGCCCATCGCCGAAGCACCATTCAAGTTTGACATGGAATTGGATGACTTGCCCAAGGAAAAGCTCAAAGAACTCATTTTTGAAGAGACCGCTAGATTCCAGCCAGGATACAGATCTTAAATTTCTCAGGTACCTGGAGCTTTAACCATATAGTAAATCCTAGCAGAGGAGACAGGTAAAAAGTGTTCAAAAAGAGGAAACACAGATCTCAATTTTCGAGAATATACGGAACGGGAGAGAGAGTGGGGCTTGTTGTGTTAGAACTCTGTAGAAATGAGCAGTGAGATAAAGAATTATGACCAAGGGTTGAGGCATCTGCTGGGGAAATGCTTTGGACAGACCAGCCCGGGACAGCTGGATGGCCTGGCAGTGGGGTCTGCAGACAGGTGACCGAGGGGGATCCAGGCAGGGTTACGAAGTGGGGGATTCTGCAGCGGTGGGCATTGGGGATTCTCAGCTGGATCTTAAGTCCATTCTCTCCTGCCTGGGCCTTTTTATTTATTTTCACATACTGGGGTCAGGCTGAGGGTTGGTCTGAGGTTGCCTGTGTTGGGCAGCATCCGGGCTTGAGATCAGAAGCTGCTTGAGGTATTTCACACAGAGGGTGTGTGATCAGTCAGGAGGCTGTGGAAGGGCTGGAGAGCAAGAGCGGGGCGGTGGGGCTTCCTGCAGACGGGGGTCTGCAGGGGCTGAGGGGAAGCGATGTGAGCCAGCATCTGTCTGGTCAGCAGGCCCGGAGGGTGCCGGGCCCCTGCCAGAACTGCAGCTGTTAGAGCATCACCATTGCTGAGGAGGGTCAGGAGCCCGGCTGCCACTGACCCAGGGATCTCAGGGGCCTGAGTCACCACCACCCTCCAGTACCTCTGAAACCCAGGACCACCCCTCCCGAAGAGCCATGTGTCACTAGAGGCAGAAGAAGGAAGGCTTTTCCTCTCAGTGCCTGCCACTGGCAGTCCCACCAGAAGCAGCTGCCAAGGACAGGCAGCGGTGCTAAGGCAGGGTCCCAGCCCCAGAGCTCAGATCAGGGGATAGGGAAGGGCAGAAGGGGGGCTACAAGCAGATGCGATCAGCTCACCTACTCACAGAGCCACCAGGGCTGGACCAGGGCAGAGGAGAGAGTGGGAGAGGAGCTTCCAGACCTGGGGCTCAGACTGGGGTGTGGTCGGGAGAAGCAGTGACTGCAGGGGAGTGAGGGGAGCAGAGCCTGAAAGACCCCGATTCCCTAACCAAGCAAGGGAGGGGGACTGGCAGGCCCTTGCTGGGACACACTGGAGGCCAGACTCCAAGCCCGAGCACATGTGCCCCCAGCAGCCAACCTTCAGGAAGTGTCTGAGCAGGAAGGGGAGATGCCGCAGGGGACAGGGAGGCCAGTCCAGTGGGGTTGGAAGCGTTCATCCGTCCACACCTCACATCGGGACAGTCTCTTGAAGAATTTGTTGCACACAAGGCACTGTGCGGTCATTCACCGACAGAAGGAAAGCGGCCCCTGGGACCCAGCCGTTTTCACCCCTTCCTGGTCTCTCTGCCTGCATTCACGGTGGGGGGATTGTCTCTGCCAGGGGCCTGCCCTTCCGTCCCCGTGTCCGTGCCAGGTCAGCCTGGCTGCGTTGGGTGAATAAGCTTTTGGCTGGCTCTTTACAAATTAGGCCACTGACCCCTGGCCTGGAAGGTCGAGCTGAGCAACTTTCTGCACGGTCCCTTCCATGGGTTGCTTTCCTGTGTGTTCATGGCCCCTGATTTCCCTGCCTTCTGGTTTCAGGGCATACATGCTGTGTGCTCACCCCAGTGAGCAGAACAGACAGGACTGAACGTGGCCCCCGAGGAGCACGTGGCCTGAGAGGGGAGAAAGACACAGACCGTCATGCACATCTTTGGTGTAGAACATCTGGGGGTGATGGAGCTATCAGTTTGTCATTGTTCATTTAATCCCTGTCACGTACTTCTTAGTGCTGGGTAGGAGGGAATGGATGGGTAAGACCCAGGCTTTGCTTTCTAGCAGCCTGATGGCAGGACCCGGGGAGTCAGGCCCAGCATTGTGGTGCTGCACCAGGGGAGGGTTCGGCCCCAAAGATGCAGAGCGCCGGGAGGGGGCGCCCCGCTGGTGGGGAGGGGCCCGCCTCTCCTCACAGGTGGTCTTAAGTCCTGAAGTGTCAGGGCATCTGACACTGGGCAGTCTGGGTGGTGGGACCTCAGCAGGGACTTGTGGGGTGGCTGGTCAGGCAGCAGGCACAGGGGAGCATGACAGTGACCAGGGTCCTGGGCCGCAGGACAAGGCTGCTGACTGGATGCCTACTGGAGGCCATTAGCACACGGGGACCAAGCCCACCCGGGGCCCATCCCAGCTCTGAGTATCCAGGGTTGGGGCCTGTCACCAGTGGAGGCGGTGGCAGGGGGGTTGCTCTGTGTTTAGTTCACTTCCTCCAGGCACACAGAAGGCACAGAATGTGCTTGTAGCCTGATTTTTTTCCCAAACGTTTTTTAAATGACAATTTTTACCTATTCTGAGAAGTTGAGGGTTTTACAGTAGACACCCATATTCCCACCACCCCGATCCTATGATTAACGTTTTATTATAATTTCTTTGCCTTCTCACATATCTGTCCATGCATTCCTCCATCAGCCCATCAACCCATCTTGTTTTTTTCTGTGCATTTCAAAGGAAATTTCCAACATCTAGACTGACTTATAATTTAGTCATCTAGGATAGAAGAGTGAGTGCAGAGGAGGGTGGGTTGGGCGCGTTGTTAAGCTCTGGGCCAGGTTCTTTCACAGACATTGCCTTTTGATGATCACAGCAGCGTTTTCTGAAGTCAGCACACAGCCCAGGTCTACGATTGACGAAACTGAAGGAGTGTGTTTAAGCATTTTGCTGAAGATTATACATCGGTGGCAAAAGTAGGCAGAGAGTCCAGGTCCTTTAGACTCAGAAATCTTTTTTCACCTAGATTTGCTCCCCAGGGAGGTGGAGGGACCGTGGGTGTGAGTTCCCAGTCTGCAGCGAGGGCAGAACTGCAGAGAGAAGAGCCTGGAGGTGTTGGTGCTGTGACACACGGGGCCGCCGGGGAAACGTGCTCATACAGCTGTGGGGGCTTTGCTGGAGGGGACAGCAGGGACCACTCCAGAGGAGACCCTAGGTGTCCCCTGCTCGCTGATGTTCTTAGTGGCGGCTCTGAGTGATTGTAAAGGGTCAAAGTATGTTCATTATATTTTGTTTAAGGGGCTCTATTTTAGAAATGTTTTCACTGGAAAGGTAAAAAGGTATAAGTGGTTAATACATTGTGACAAGTCTCCGATTCCTCCAGCCTTGGGTCTCAGCCTCATCCTTACAGACCATCTCCTTACCTGCTTCCCTGAGAAGCTGGGGAAGAGGAGGTGGTGCCTACCTTTCTTCCTCCTTCTCCAGCCTGTCGCTGGACTTTCTCGGGGGGTGGTGGGGGACTGATTACTAGGGCCATTAATCTCTTGTTTCCCTTTGGTTTCATTAAAGATAAAAGCATTTAGGGCAGTTTTAGTTTTCTGCCAGCTGCTAGGTGTGGCTGCAGTTCATGGTGGCACGCCTCTAGGAGGAGGTCACGTCTTGTCCCCGAGCTCGTCTCCCCGAGCAGCAGACAAAGGACTATCCACCTGGCAGTGCCTGTGAGCCAGGTGACACCTGCTGGTGGGCGTTTAACAGGCCACATCTCCAGGGGAAGGAAGGTCTGCTTTGCTCACATCCTGACACACTCGATTACCCTCACGCTGTCTCCACGCGGCTTCGTCGTGAGACAGAGAACGTGCACTTCTCCTCCCCAGGATGGTCCTCGGGGTGGAGGGAATTCCCACGTCCACCCACGCCCCACCCTCAGCCGTCTGTGCTCACAGCCGAGAACTGCTAGTCTGGAAACAGGTGGAGTGGATTTAACCCAGAATATAATTTCCTCAAGTAAAATAGAGATGTTAGGGGAGTGATGGGGGACCTCGGGCCTCCTGAGGGATTCTCGGACATCTGCAGGGCCAGGGGGGCCTGGCGGGACAGCAGCCATTGGGTCCCCTCCTGCACTTCCAGGGTCCAGGCCCACCAGCTTCACGCTTCCTACCAGCACTTGGTTGTGCTTGTTGTGCTTAGTCACAGAAAACTTGAGCATTAAAAAAAAAAAACACTTTCTGCCTCCTGTGTGGTTGATTCTGACCTACCTGCTCATCCAGAGAGAGAGAGACGTGCTGAGAATAGCAGGCAGAAGCGTTTTCCACTTCACACATGTGTTTACAAAGATTCTCAGACTCTGGTTTGGACCGTTGGTTAATAAATGGCATCTGGGGAACACTGACGCTGGCCTGGCTGTGAGCGAGCGTGCGTGTCTCCCCCTGAGTATTCTGGAAACATCCTCTGTGAAACATCTGAGAGAAAAGGTGCCCGGGGATGGGGGCGTGGAGGCAAGCCCACCCTTGAGGAGCCTCGGGTGTGACTCGTGCCACGTGGTTCTGAGGGAGATGACCTTTTCTGCAGGCGTGTTTTTCCTTTGCTTTTTCACTCTTCCGTTTTCCTAGCACTGCTGCTGCTGCTTTTCCCACGTGGTTCACCCTTAGCTCACAGTCGGTCTGTCTGTTTCCCAACAGGACACGGGCTCCGAGGACGGGCCACGCGCAGGCATCGCTGTTCTTCCTCCCAGCTCCTGACCCCGGGCCCGTCTCCAGCCTGTCTCGGCGTGTCCACCTGACTCCTTTGAGCCATTCGGAGGGGCAGTTTCTGGTAGTTGTGGCTTTTATGCTTTCAAAGAATTCCTTCAGTCCAGAGAACTGTTCTTGGCACCCCTGTGTGTGTCGCCCTCCGGTGACCTGTGGCAGTACGTACTTCAGGGCACCTACTGCTCACCTTGCTTTAGTCACTAATCGCTTTCTGGTTTGAAAGATGCAGTGGTTCCACCCTCCCTAGTCCTCCCTCCTGATGCCCTGCTGACCCCGCCCTCACCGTCGGTCACTGCGTCTCACTTTCCGGGAGGGCGGCCGCTCCTCGGGCACTTTAAGGCAGTGACGGCCCCTCTTTGCACTCCTCTCCCACCCTGCCGGGGCCCCTGCAGCTCGTGCTCCCGCCCCTGGACCCTGTGGGTGCTCGTCAGCACCTCTCCTTGTGTCATGTTAATCTCTAGCAGATGTAAGGTATATGTACTGCTTGCCCAGCTTTTAGAAAATTCAGTCCTTTTTCTAAATAAAAGGAAGAAATCCTGCATCGGGCAGTTCCACCTGTACCATTTACAGGGGCACAACACTTGCCAAAATGTGTTATATACAGTTCTGGTTGTTTGCAAGACTTATGCAAAAAGACGTAAAGTGGCGGCTTCTCTCGGGATTTGGTGAGAGGTGCACGAGGTCATGCAGGCTGCCCAGGTGGTGTGGGGCTGAGCTCCACGCCCAGTGGGCACAGGTGCCACGGGCGCTGTAGCCACACTCGATGCCTGAGGGTCTAGCGGAGAGGAACACTGCGTCTTTCAATGAGAAAGTGTACACTTCCTTTTCCTCCTACAGCATGTCAGCATCTCAAGTTCATTTTCAACCTACGATATAACAGTTTGTAATAAAGCCTCCGTGAGCTCACGACTGGAGCACTGTTCTTTCGTCAAGTGCTCGCTCACGACTCTGATGTCACCGAGCTCAGGCCGTCAGGAGCAGCTAGCACTAGGTCCTGCGTGCGAGGAGCCTTAGCCCCTGCCCTCCTGAGCCCTCTAGTGTTTGTTCCCGCCGCCGCACCCTGTGGTGTGGACTCGGTGTTCTGTCCCCGTGCGGTGCCTCCTCTTGACTCCCCCACTGCTCTCTGTGGTGAGAAATCTGCCTTGTTCAGTAATTACTGTACCCTCGCATGACTGTTACAGCTTTCTGTGCGGAGATGACTGTCCAAGTGCCACATGCCTATGATTGAAACAAAAAATCTATTGTTACCTCTGAGTTGTGTTCCACGGAAAATGCTATCCAGCAGATCACTTAGGAAAAATAATTCTATTTTTAGCTTTTCATTTCTCAGCTGTCCTTTTTTTCTTGTTTGATTTTTGACAGCAATGGAGAATGGGTTATATAAAGACTGCCTGCTAATATGAACAGCAATGCACTTGTAATTCATGGAAATAAATGTACATCTTCTATCTTCATATTCATGTTAAGATTCGGTGTTGATTTCCTCTGGATTAGTGGGTCCAAATGGACAGTCAGGCTCAGTCTGTGCTTTAGAACAGAAAGGCTTGCAGGCCTCCCCTTCCCACCAGGCACTGCCCGAACACTTTGCTTTATGTCAGGTGATTTAGAAAGCATTTCTGGAGGGTTCTTTTTTCCTTCCACACAGCAGAGAATCAATTCTGACATGTTCATTTCTTCAGATCATAGGTCTACAGTGTTCTGTCAGGCTCTGATGAAGCAGCCCAAATGTCTCAGGTTGGATTCTCTGATTCTTTCTAAAGAGGGCCGGCCTGTGTCCCAGTTGAGTGCTGGAAAGGGCTCCACCCCCCACCCCCCACCCCCCAGCCCAGCGTGCTGGTGCTCACACCTCACGGGCCAGAGCAGGTGGCTGACTCATCCTCAGAAATCAAAACTACGTCTAGGTTTTTGCCCTGAGATACGTGATTTTCACCTCCATGCACAGAGCTGCCTTGTGAAGGTCCACACAGCATTGAAAAGATACAGAGATTTGACTGTTCCTTGATATATTTTTAAAGGAGCATTGATAGTTTTATTGCTCTTGTTTCTTTGTACTTTTTAAATGGAATGTTAGCAGTATTATGAGGTTAACCTGCAGTCCTCTAACTAGAAAGAAAGCCATAGCCTTGGTTACTAATCCCTGGGGACTCTAGGCTCTTTTTCCCTCCCCCTCACTGGTACCATGGAGTCAGATGGGCATGAAACCACTAACTGCATCCTAGAGTCCCTGTAGCCACAGGTTGTGTGCTTTTTACTAATCATGCTAAACTTGGTTTAACAGGTCAGGAATTGTCTTAACCAAGGTACCTGTGAAAAGTACTAGCTGTTAGGTGTGAAAGACTCATCATTTGGATATTTCATCTCTAAAAATGTACAGGTTAGGTCATCTAAATTCATGCTGGTGATCCCGAATGCCTCCATTACTGCTCCACGCAGATAAGTTTCAGACTGATGGCTTTTTTGGTGTCTAAAATGTAAGCAAAAAATTCCTGTCGAAACATTCCAGTCCTTTCACTTAGTATGAAACAAAATACCTAGCAAGCCAGCAGGATGGACTTGAGAGAACTCAGGACGACTGTGCAGACACAGCCTTCAAAGCTGGTAGAGAGACACGCAGACCGTGGACATGAGGGTAGAAGATCACTGCGTTGGTGTGCGGTGTGTTCACGTGACTCCTGCTACTGCATGCACAGCGACTGGTGTGGCGGGGCCACAGTAGCCAGTGGCTGTCCCTGAGGCAGACAGGTGTACTGCCTACGACTAGCCGAGTACCAGTCACGCGCAGACCATTCAGAGGAGACTGACCTTTATTTGCTTACGTGTTAATACAGATTTTAAATTGGTAATTTTTCTATAGTATGGTAATAGTATGTTAATACACATACATATGCACACATGCTTTGGGTCCTTCCATAATACTTTTATATTTGTAAATCAATGTTTTGGAGCAATCCCAAGTTTAAGGGAAATATTTTTGTAAATGTAGTGGTTTTGAAAATCTGAGCAGTCCTTTTGCTTATGTTTTAAAGCATTTGTGCTTTAAAATTGTCGTGCTGGTGTTTGAAATATGATCCTCCTAGTACAGATGAGAGGCGTGTCCCAGCAGAGGAAGCACCGTCTCCCTCACTGCAGCCAGCTTGGCATCGTGGGTCAGAGACGGGAAATCCAGAGGGATGCTGTAGGCTTGCACCAGCTTCCCTGAAGCTCGTGGCCTTTTCTGTGCTGTTTATCCGTGTAGAGCACTCAAGATCTGAAACTGCTTTGTTATCTGCTTTGTACTGTTGGTGCCTTCTTGGTATTGTACCCCAAAACTCTGCATAGATTATTTAGTATAATGGTAAGTTAAAAACAAATGTTAAAGGAAGATTTTATTAAGAATCTGAATGTTTATTCATTATATTGTTACAACTTAACATTTATTTGTGGTATTTGTGATTTGGTTAATCTGTATAAAAATTGTAAGTAGAAAGGTTTATATTTCATCTTAATTCTTTTGATGTTGTAAACGTACTTTTTAAAAGATGGATTATTTGACTGTTTATGGCACCTAACTTGTAAAAAAACAAAAACTACAAAAAAATTAGAATCATTAAATTGTGTCCGTGTTACCAAAATAACATAGTACTGTGCATGTCTAGTTTAACTGGAATTTCATACATGAAGATATGGAGTCACCTGGTCCTTTATTACATTTCCCAAGCAAGTGCGTCTTCTGGTTTGACTTTGCTCGTAGTACATGGCGGTAGTACCGTCAGCTGGTGCTCTGGAGGCACTGGAGTCCTAGTCTGTCCAGAGTGGTCTTCAGACCTTTGGCCGTAGGGGGAGAAGGCGTTGCCACACGCATCTCCTCTCATCTCCCTGAACTTCAGCGACCCCGCTGCTGGGCAGGTGTCACTGGCCGCCTCTTTTCAGACCAAGAAATCATGACCACGGGAGGGACTGTTGGACATTTGGTTCCTGTCACTGTTGGGCATTGTGCAGTGGCTTATTTACGAGAAAAGACACCAGCAGTGTCCACGGTGAGACAGCAGGAGCTCGGCTCTGGGCCTCGGACCCACAGCTGCACCGTGGAGCCGGCACACTCACCTTGAGCACGGTGAAGGTTATATACAGATACTTCAAGTGCCTAGCGTAGTACCTCCAAGCAAGCGGTAAATCTTCCTAAATGTTTTTTTATTTCTTTAAGTTTTGTTGTGAGGCAGCATGACAGTGTCTGCTAAGCAAACTATTTTCTGTTCATCTGAGAGGAAAACTGCCCCAAACGTTCTTCAGGCAAATGAGCGGATCCCACCTGAACTGGGAGTTTCTGAGGGGTGTTTGAAGCACTGGTATTGCATTTGCTTTCCCTGGAGAGGTGAACACGCTTTGCTGTTGTCCCAATCCTTTAGACGATTCAAATGATCCTCCTGTTAGTGGACACAGGAGTCTGATAACCCTACGTTTCCCATTTTAATCGTGAGCCCCGGCCTTAGCAGCAGTGCAGCCATTCTGGTTGGCACTGTAGATGGCATCTCGGCTGGCCCAGTTCACTGTGTTCAGTCAGAACCAGGGTGTCCAGGGCTGACCGTGACTGCAGAGCAGGTGGAGATGGGAGGGAGGGGGAGAGGAGCCGGGGTGTCTGCAGAGAAGTAGCCGAGGGAGGCCTGGTGTCATGGGGGCTTGGCCACCTGCGGGGCTGAGGCTGGGGGGGCGGGTCCAGGCAGACCCAGGCCATGGGGGCGCTTTCTTTGAGTCCAGCGCCAAGGATGGCTGAGGACAAAGCTCATCTTCTAGAAGTGGCAGTGCTCACAACATGTCTGTCCAGGTGAAATGGGAACGGTGTTGTGAGGAGGAGGAGGAGATCCGAGGAGGCCTGCAGTGGAGCTGACCTGAGGGGCCACGTCATCAGCAGTGACCCACGGCTGGACGATACGGGGCCTGGGAGAGACGGCTGAGTGACAGCCACGGCCACCAAGGCTGCACAGGCACCTGCCACTGCTGAGCATGCGTGGCGGGAGGTACAGGAAGGTAGGAGGGGATCTGGTGCTGTCATACCCGGGTCCTGTGCAAATGAGGCTCCTGGGGCTCGCCAGGTCACCCTCGGGGGGTGACAACAGTGAGGGGAGGGGAGAGATCCATCACCTTGAGCTGTGACCACCCCTGGAAGACTCCGGTCACGCAGACCTCCTGCCGGCCTCAAGGCTGATCTGCTCGCAGTGGACTGGGTGCCAGGCCCTGCCTGCCGGGAAATCCGTGAAGTTGCCGGCCTGTGAGGGAAGGGGGACCTCTCAGCCAGAAGAGGCCCAGAGGACCGGAGTCTACCAGCTGTGCGATAATGACCATGTCTGCGCAGGTCCACAAAGATTTGTGGATTTAAAACCTGAATGATGACAACAGGAATGTGAAAGCGAGTCAGTTTTATCAGAAAGCAAAGTTTTGTCTTTTTCTGAGCAGATCAGGGAGACCCTGCGGGTCATCCTCACTCCCTTCACGAGGGCCTTGAAAGCCACCCCAGTGCTGTGGACACAGAAAATAGGCAAGAGCCTCCTCATTTCAAAATTAAGGCATCTTTAATCACTAATGTCTGGACAAGTTATTTCCTGTTTTCTCCTTCCCCTTCATCCTGTTTCCTAAATAATTTCTATCTAAAATTGGGAGTCTAAGGAATTCTTTATATAACAATGTGCATTCACATGTTGGGTGTCGACATGCTTTCCCCCAGACCAACCAGAAGCAGGTACTGGGGTCCTGACTCAGCCTGTGCTGGGCTGGGTCCGAGGACGGTCTCCAACTCTTTTCTGCTGTGGCCGCAGGCTTGGGAAAGAGGTGTTGGGGGGTGAAGGTATTAGGTAAGGGGAGCACCGAATTGGGTGGGAGTTGGAGAGGATTACGCTTGAAATTCTTGGCCAGAGGGGCAGGGGAGTCACCGCCCCTTTTTCAGTAAAACCAGAAGGTAACAAGTCTGGTATCAGCCGTGGAAATAGTGGGAGGACTAGAAAGGGTGCAGCGGGGCTGGGGGGTGGGGCTGTGGCCTGGGGCACGGGGGCCAAAGCTTTCAGGTCCGAGCACTGGCGGGTGGTTGGGGGGTCTGCGCAGCCTGGTGGTGTGGGCACACAAGCCAACTCTCCGTCCCCAGTGGGTCACCAGGCTGACCCTAAGGCCAGAATTGGGCAGGAACCAGTGGCCACATCGCCACTCCCAGAAATCTATGCCCACTTTTTACTTTTCTCAAAGCCCGAATGAGTGCTCTTACTCCACACTGAAGTGTTCCCGTTCTGTGAGTGTGGGGAGCTGGCCAGCTCTGTAGGCTGAAGCGTGTGGGGTTCCTGAGGTTGAGTCAAGCACCCAGGGAGCAGGAGAACACGGGTGCATGACCACAGCGATAGACCCGCCATGGGGACCAGTGGGAATGGCACCAGGGAGCCTGAGCTGATTTCTTCTGAAGAGCTGGGGTTTCTTAGATTGCTTTTGAAAGTCTCTGCTGCACTTACACATCCGTTTTTCAAATTTTCAAGTATTTTTTATCACCAGTGCCCTTTCATGAAGTGAACTCAAAATTCACCTGCTCTGAATAAGCAGGGGTGGGGCAGCCCAGCACCCCTACCTGTCTCCATCCCACAGAGCATGATGTTTCTTCCTCAGAAGAACCAAAAGATGATCATTTCAGAAGCCATAGAGAGAAGAGCAGATGCCACAAAAAGGCAGCAATTGAAGAAACAAGGCCACAGAGGACACCACGTCCACAGTGGACCAGGGAGGGCCAGCAGTGTGGGGGTTACCTGCGGGAGCACCTCACCGGTGGATTAGCTGGGGTCAGCCTCCTGATTTAAAAGTGCAGGAAACAAGCTCGGCCTGGTGCTCTGTGATGGCCTAGTTGGGTGGGATAGTGGGGGAGGTCCAAGAGAGAGGGAATGTGTATATGTGTGTGGCTGATTCACTTCGCTGTGTGGCAGAAACAAACAGCATTGTAAAGCAATCGTATTCTAATAAAAACAAAATATATTTTAAAAAGGGCAGGAAACATTGTTAAGACCACTGAGAAGTACAAATAGGGAGTGGGGGGATAGATGATAAGGAAGAAGAGCTTGTAAGGATGGAGAATGAAGTGTCCAGTGTTGATGCAGCGTCTGTCAAGGGCATGTCTGCAGAGGCAGCTGCGTCGTCTGTGAACATGCTGGTTCAGAAGGAAACGCTGGGCCAAGCAGGTTGCAAGGAGGAGGAAGTGACCGTCAGAGGAGGCCTCCGCTGGCCAGGAATTACGAGGGGCTCAGGACGGGCGGGGGGGGGGGGTGTGTGCTGCCACCAGGGTACATTCCCTGAAAAGACAAGTAGCAGACAGTGCAGACAGAGCATGTGGGTGAAGTCAGGAGGATGAAAAAGGCAGATGGTGGATGTCATGACGGCCGAGCAAACAGGACACCTAGTCTGCTCTCTCCCAGATGGAGGCTGGGCACGGGGCCCCTCCCTGGCCGCCCACCGGGTCGTGGGATGGCCCGGCTGCTCCACAGGGAACAAGGTCTTAGAATAGCCTGGAGCCTAAGAGTTTTGGAGGGAGCCACAGTCTCGTCTCTCCCTTTTTCAGATGTGGTGGCTTAGACTGGCCTGGCCAGAGACATGTAGCTGGGTGACTGTGGGGTCTGACCCCATCCCCCACGGTGGCCAGCAAGGGCACCGACCTGGACTGACCTGTAATGTGCATTCTCCAGTTTCCCACACTGGCTGCTGCAGGTGGGGGTATTCAGCCCACCCACCCACCGCTTGATTTGAAATCGTGTGGCCATCAGGGTAGGATGCCCCGCCTGGGTTCAGAGGACGCAGGTCCACGGGCAGCAGGGGCTCCAAAAGGCAGGCAGACTCACCCCTAGTCCCCTGAGCTCCTGCTGTCTGGCCGCTGAGCCGTTGGCCAGGCCCACTTCGGTCCCTGCTGGGGGGAGGGGTGCAGCCCGGCAGGGGAGGGGTGGGAAGAGATGGAAGCCTAAGCCTGACCCTGTAGCTGAGGTACTTCAGGCCCTTGGGGTCTCCACTGGTGAAATTGGGATGGTGGCTCCCAGGACTCAGGAGGACGGGTGTGTCCTGCATCTGCAGTGGGTTCCACACCAGTGCTTCCCCCCTCCCCCCCACACCTTCCTTGTCATTTGTGTTTTGCTGCTTGGCTTTGCCTTTTGTTTTTCCTTGAAGTAACAGGTGTACATTTCTGGTTCTGGAAGCAGTATCAGGCCCCCAAGGGAGCTTGCCCCCATCCCTCTGGTCCTCGACACCACATCCCCACCTCTATCCACTTGGACAGCAGCCACGAGCCTCGGGGATGAGATCCCCAGGTCACGGTGATCTCCTACTCAAAACCTCTCCCCTCCTGTGGAGGGTCTGCTTTGCTGCCCACCTACTGCTTCAGCCCCATGACCCCACGCCCTTCCTGGTTCTTCCCTCCAAGCCCACCCACTGTCCTGGCTGCAGTGTCAGAACAAACTGGAGGCTGGAGACCACAGGCAGGGAGCAGAGAGCTGAGGCCCCCCCAGGATGGAGGCCAAGCCCCCCTTCGCGACAGCCCTGCCACCGGAACTGAAGAAGAACTAAAGAATTGTACACTTTGACCAGCATCTCCCCATTTCCCCCACCCCCTAGCCCCTGGTAACCA